TGGGTCAAGCCGTAAGATCAGAACCGGCTTGACGATAGCCACGATAAAGGCGCTACCAAACTTAGTGAAATGCTACAAATGTCATACGTTTAGTCATATCGCGAACAAATGCACGGCGATAAGTTCCGGGAAGGAACTATGTAGTAAGTGCGGGAGCAAAGAACACACGATAGCTGCCTGCACTAACGCGCCGTCCTGCGCCATATGCAGCAAGGTCGAAGGAATCAGATTTGATCACGTGACCGGGTCGCTAGCTTGCCCAGAATATGAAAGAAGATCTTACAGATAAATCTCAACAGATGCAAGCTGGCGCAGGACCTGATGCACCAATGCGCGATCGAATATAGACCGGATATCGTGGTAATATCCGAGCCAAACAAACAGCTTCCGTATTGGATTAACGATACTAAAGGAGACGCGCCCATATGGGGCACCCGTTTTAACGGTGAACTTCTGAACGAGACTACGGCGGTCAAGAATAACTGAATCGTACGCATATGCGTTGGAGACATCTTCTGCATCAGCGGATACTGCTCGCCTAACTTAAGCAAACAGGACTATGTGTCGTCATACATAAGACACATTGCCATCGGTAATGAAGGATGGTGCCAGGAGACACGACAAGGTTGTCGTAGCCGGCGATTTCAACTCAAAGTCGACCTCTTGGGGAGGAACGACCACGGACAAAAGGGGGAGAGTCTTGATGGAGGCACTCTGCGGTTATGGAGTGTTTCCACTGAGACTCAAGGAAAAATATACCTTCAGTAAGAACGGGAGGACGAGTTGTCCTGACGTAATTAGTGTATTAAATAAGGTCAATGAGATGCACGTGGAAAGCGTGGTCTCGGACAAGTATTCGGCCTCTGACCATCTATATCTAATGCATAGTTTTAAATTGAGGACAACAAGAAGGGCGTCAAAGTTCTTCAGATATGTAACGAAGAACCTAGCGCCAGACGAGTTTCTAAATGGGTTTGACGACACTGTGGAGGTGATAGACCAAGAAAAGGATAACAGAACGGACAGGGCCGAGCTCTTGCAGAAGAGCATCGAGAGAACGTGCGATGTGATGTTAAAGAAGATAAGCGGTGCGACCAATAGGAAGTACGCGAACTATTGGTGGAACGCGAAAATCGCGGAACTCAGAACACAGACCCACAAGGCATTAAGGAAGGCGACGAAACAGAGAAAGAAAGATTTCGGCAATACCGATCTCCTCGTCACCCTATGCAAGAGAATCAGAAAACAACTGAAGATGGAGATTGCCCAAAGCAAAGCCAGAGCATGGGCAGATTTTTGTAAGATTCTCGAGGGTGACCCTTGAGGCAAACCTTATTGTACGGTCATGAAAAGATGTAAGAGCAAGGGGCCGGCCAATGACATGCCAATCGATATGGTGGAAACGGTCACAAAAAGACTGTTCACCATAGGACATGGACCGTCGCGCTATGAGGACCACGAATAAAGTCGAAGACATCGCCCGAAGAATTAGTACGAAGAAAGCTGCAGGAGTAGACGGCGTCCCAGGTGAGATCGCGAGGCTCATAGGGAGCCGCAGGAGCGAGTTGGTGGCCAGCGTGATGAACGGCATCACCGACACAGGACGGATCCCCGAGTGCTGGAAGACGGCTAGGGTAATATTGCTAAGGAAGCCGGATAAGGATCCTAGACTTCCTAACGCGTATTGGCATAAAGCATACTCCCAGTCATGAGCAAGATCTGGGAGAAGTGCTTCAAAAAGATCATAGAAAGATGCATCGGAGAGGATCCGTTTCATCGAAGGCAGTACGGCTTTCGAAAAAAGAGGAGTACGGTGGGTGCCATCACGCAGCTGATGAAGTTTGCCGACACCTGCAAACAGAGGAGGGTCTCTGGACATCAGCAATGCCTTCAACTCGCTCAGTTGGGAGAGTATCATCAAGGAGTTCGACAGGAGGAAGTTGCCATGGAAGATTAGAAGACTGATTGGCAACTACCTCTCCAAAAGAAGGATTATACTAAGCAACCAGTATGGCACAGTAGAACACGAAGTGACGGCTGGAGTTCCACAGGTATCTGTATCGTACCACTCCTGTGGAATTTGGTATATGATCCACTACTCGAGAGGTTCGAAAACATGGTAATGGTCAGGGTAACAGCCTTCGCGGACGACCTGGCCATTACGTGTGCCGTCGAGAAGAACAAAGGGGCGTCCGCCAAAGTCAACGCCATGCTGAAGACCGTCAAGGACTGGTGCAAGAGTGTCGGTCTCACGCTGGCGACAAAAAAGACGAAGGTAATGCTTCTCACCGGGATGAGGGCTCCGAGAGTCATCGGACTTAATTTGGGTTCCTCGGACACCGTAACGGGCGAGCACATCAAATACCTTGGTGTCACGATCGATACCCATAGGAAATTCGAGATACACATCGAGATGGTTTGTAGTAAAGCAGATAAGCTGACTGGAGCCCTTAGGGACATCCTACCGAACATCAACGGGCCGCCCAGCTTGGCTCGTAGGCTCTACTACAACGTATGGGAATCCATCGTGACCTATGGTGCACCGGTGTGGGCGGGTGCGGCTGACATCAACAGAAACAAGAAAACGTTAAAAAGGGCACAAAGAACAGCCCTGTGTATAATATCGGCTGCGTACCGCACTGTCTCACACGCAGCGCTATGTGTGTTGACTGGTAACTTACCCATCCTCATAAAAGTGAAGATGTTGAGAGAAATATATCTGAGAACTAGGATCCATAAGACCAGGATCGGCGTAGGAGACGACAGTACGATTAAGGACGAGTTGGAGATTATTCAAATGAAAGTGTTTGACGAATGGCAAAGGGAGTGGGATGAGTACAAGAAGGATAACTTCACAAAGAAGTTAATACTAAACGCACTCCTATTTGCCAAGAAGAAGAAGAACATCGACCACTATACCATGCAGCTACTAACTGGGCATGGAATTTTTTATGCATATAGGAGGAGAATGGGGAAGAACCCCAAAAGTAAATGTCCTGACTGCGGAGATCCCAACGACGACGCTGAGCACGTCCTCTTCACCTGCCCGAAGGGAACTGACGGAAGGATCGAGCTAGAGAACCTCTCGGCCTTGGCGAGAAGATAAGCGTGGGCAACCTCATGGCCACGGTGACCGCCAAGGACGAGAACTGGAACAAATTTAGACTATTTTGTAAGACCGTCATGTCTCACAGGAGGGAGATAGAGATGGCCATGGAAGCGGCCAGGAAGAGGATGAGTGCTACAACCACGCGTGGCATGAATAGCGCAGCCATAAGGCAGCCGAGTGCGGAAGATGGAGGACGGCCAACTATTCTGAAGTGGCTAAGGAAAGGATGTGAGTAGTAACTGCTCGAAGAGGAAGATATAAACGGGTATGATAAGGACAACCCTGATGAATGCCGTAATGTCTTGCCGGGGTTGTCTGACCAAGAAGAAGGTGAAGAAGGAGGAGGGCTTTTCAGTGGGTATGGCGTCGACATCTGCCCGAGTCCCACATTACCCAGTGATACGGGACACTGGGCATGCGTAACAGCATTTTCCTCTCCTCGCGCGCAAAAAAAAGGTTTTGCAAACCTGCCATATGCGATCGGTTAGCCGGTTTTTCCAAAGAGTGAGGATAAACTGCTCCGACGCAAAGAGACAGGCAAGCTTCTTCAGATCATGGTAGAATTGGGACGGCTTCCTGTCGCCCATCATTTCGTTTTCTACCAGCCTCTTTACCCGTTCGCTGTCAGCCAGGCTCCGTATTAGCTCGTCTTTTAAGCGGTCATACTGACCGCCGAGATCCAATGCAATATGCTCAATTCGCTCTATGTACTCCGGTTCGAGGCACCCGAGCAGGTCGGTGGCTTTTTCTTCATCATTCTTGATTCCCGCCGCCGCGAGCTGTCTCCCAAATAAAGAGAACCAAAATACGATCTTCTGCGGCTTCAGCGGTGGCACGCGGATGGTTTGCGAAGTCGTAACCGTAGTCGTATTGTTTCGACATCCTTAACGCGCTCAGACTCACAATATTAATTTCGCTATCTCAAGATCACGTCGGGGTCACCAATGTGGAGGATTAGTCTTTATTTGGTTGAGCGAAATAACGAAAGCGTAATATTGCTTTCGCAATCCGTTAAATATATTTTCAAATAAATAAATAAATTACAGACGAATTGTGAGTGGCTGGTACAAAAATAAATTACGAAATGAATACCCGATAAATACTCGGAGAAACTTTGTAAATCACTTCAATAATTGTTTACACGTTAATGCTCTTCCACTCTGTTCGATGAACTCTCTCGCTCGTGACTGCGTCCGTTTATTTATACTGGTCCGGGGAGAACCGGAAAATTCGAATTCGTCTACGTTTGACGGTTGTATGTAGCGGCGACATTGTTTTGTCCGGAGTTTATTTGTTCTTACATTACTTGGAACCTAACGGTCTTGATACTCCGAGGCAAAACAACAACATGAGTCACCCTCAATTCGAATCGTTCTGTAACTCATGTGCCGCAACAGATATATTTTTTTTATTTATTTATTTAATTACTACCTTATATTATTATTAATACCTTACTATTAATACCTTACAGTATGTCTATTCGGCAAATCTTTCTAACTTTATTGCTAATTAATATGGTCCATGCAGTACTTAAGCCATATGTTTAAGTTTTTAAGTCTTCATTTTGCCTTTTACCTTTATTCACAATATTTTATGAGTAAACAATTAGAAATATTTTTTGCATCACACAGGACGATTTTAGATGCGAGTCTCTGTATAAATCATTCTGTATGGTTAGGTAATTATTTCCTTCTAATGGGTTGCAATTAATCGTAACTGCTTCTCATATGTAAAAGTACGATCACTGAAACAGCAGATTACGTGTAGGGGTTGTGTTGTATTTACAAGAGATATCTTACCTTTTTCCATTGTTCATTTGCATTTCCCATTCTTTTTTTTCGACACACTTTTCTTGGTTATGTTATAAACTGGCATTACAATTGATACAGAACATGCTTAATATTTACATAAGTTTTACAAGTTTATATTCTATAAGTTATGTGTGTCGCGCAAAGCATGTGGAAAATCGCTGTAATTAATTATGAAAATTATAAAAGAAAATCTAAAGTTATAGAGGGAATCCTATTACATTTTTTATTAATTACTGTTGACGTATTTTGAAAGCAAACTAATAGAGTACAAGTCTACACAAAATTTCATTCTTTTATTTCTCACTAAATTTTGCAAGTAAGTAAGTGTTCCTTCCAGGAAAAATTTTTAAATAATATTGAAATTGACAGAATTCTGCAATTACAGTAAACAATTACACCATTATAGAAGTTACAAAATTTGTTAGTAGAAATGTAAAGATAGCAACGTAATTGCTTAGAAGTGCTACAAAATATAAAATAAGAAAGAGCAGAGAGCAGTCTCATTAGCAAAAAAGGATTCGCTAAAATAGTAGGTCTTGCGATAAACCGTACAATGTAGTTTGCATTGTATGCAGCGATATAAGCATTTGCAACATGCAACGCTACGACCTTAGATTTCATTCACATCTCAACGTAAAGAAAAACGTATAGAGTTCATAACTTGTACAGTATACAATGTAGAAAACATTAAAGAAATGCAATCCGTCTAGTTGAACGGAATTGTAGAATATTCAGGAAGTTCCTAGCCAACAGTGTATTATCTACTATATTGTAATTTATCGTATATCGACATATGTTGGAGATATCGATAATAAACATCATATCGTCGAAAACTCTATGCAGATTGGACAATGACACAGCACGTTTTGAACTTGTGATATATATGTCGGAGATGAAAGGAAAATCGGAGCCTTCCCTTTGCAATTTTGGGAAAAGTCCTCTAATGCTTTAGCTCAGACTTCATCAAAGCTGTAATTAAGCAATTGTTGTCATTCGATCTGATTGTAATTGTTCGAGATTTGTTATAGCGAAATTGGGTTCGAGGTGACAACTGATCGCCGAACGTAGCCACGGTCACGGGATAAACGTTTTGCCTGACGAAGGTGTGAATCAGTTGTATAGTTCTCCATGGAAATGTGGTTGTGGAGGCATACGGCCTCAAGAACGGGCCTGGCCACATAGAATTGTACTTTGGAGATGTCGATATAATGGGACACACGTTGTATTAAGAATCAAACTCCAGACAGAACGGCGTTGGAACTTCCTCGATACTTCCAAAGAGTATACAACAACCTCTTGGCAGAAACTGCCTAACAACGGCGATTGGAATCTTCTCGATGCTTCCAGCGAGCATATAACAAACAAATGCAGTCGTACAGCGAGAAAGATTTTCATCAGATCTTC